GAGGAGGAGGAGGAGGAGGAGGAGGAGGCAGGGAGGGAGGAGGAAGAGACGGAGAAGGACAGAGGAGGAGAAGGAGGGAGGGAGGGAGGCAGGGAGGGAGTGAGGGAGGGAAGGAAGGAAGGAGGGAGGGAGAAAGGGAGGCAGGGAGGGGGAGGAGGAGGAGGAGGATGAGGAATAGTAGGATGAGGAGGAGGAGGCGGAGGAGGAGGAGGAGGAGGAGGAGGAGGAGAGCCGTCTGGGCTCAGGCATCTGCCTGATGGAAAGCTTTCTTGCTGCACCTGCAGGTAAGTTTTGCCCCCCCCGGCCCGCTATGGTGGGCGTTTGTCGACTTGAATGGATAGCAAGACAGTCTGATGCTGGCCGGGACGTGCACCTCTCCCTCAGCCACGCCAGGGACGAGGGCAATGCCAAGCTCAAGTTCGTCATCAGTCCTGCACGTACTTCTACTGCGTGCGCTGTGCAGGCTGCTGCAGTAAGGACACTCGTGCAGGCCATCGCTGAGAAGCTGTCAAACTTCTCGGCCGTGGACAGAGGGCATCTCCACACTGACGGGACTTCGATCGTACAGGTATGGTTGGCACCATACCTGTTGCTGCTCCAGACCCGCTCGAAAGGGACATGCTTCCAGGTCCTCCCCAAGGCCACCGTGCAGGTGGTGATCCTCGCGACGGCGGCACGTCTGACGCGGGGAAGGGGATGGCCATGCGGTGGAGGAGCGCAGACTGGAGGGCAACACCGTGCCCGTCCAGAGCCCCCTCATGGACACCATCGGCCGCAAATCATGCAGAGGCCCCGACACCACAGACAGTGACCGCTGCTGCGGCTCGGATGTCCCGCAATCTTCGCCCAGAGGCCCCTGTCTTCCGTCATGCTCGATAGAGCGACCAGGCACGGTGCGCTCTCCTGTTCGAGATCATTGATGCCCTTCTGGAGCTATTCAAACAGGCGTGCATCGAGGAGGCCGAACGACAACACTGCGAGGCCACCATTTCTTTCCTGAAGCTTCTCACGCGCTTGACCGCCGTCGACCCCGCTGATAAGACAATGCTTCACAAATCGCTCATGGCTTTCGTCTGGGAATCTCCAAAATGGGTTTCCGGTGGGTGCATCTCCACGGACGTACTTGGAACATTTCGGTCGCCTGGGAAGACCCGGACCATCCGAGCGTCACGGACAGCAAAGGGACCCGATTTGCGTAGGCTTGAGGGGAGCAAGGCTGGAGTGAATCTTACAGGTCGTGAGAGCTTGTCGCGAGTGGGCAGTCTGCACTACAGTGTCCCGCTGTGCGTAGCCGTGCGGAGCGTAGCAGCGTGCGCAGCGGCGACCCAGGCGCGGTGACAGCTGGACTCGGCTCGTGGACCCTCGTCGCCTTGCTGGTGGCGTCTCGTTCCTTATGCGTCTGGCTCGGGGCTGGCCCTTGGGAGCCGTTGTTGCATTGCACGCCCTTAGCCCAAGCTCCCCCCTGCGGGCCCTCCTCCTCTTCTTCTTTCTTCCTCCATGCGTCCCCCCCTCTTGGGGGGGTGCGTGGGCTTTGGGCTGTTCCTCTCCGCGTGGCTCGTGGTCTGGGGGATCCTTGTCGCCACTGTCTCCATCCTGCCCTTTTTCGCCTTATCCCCGGGTATAAGCATCAACGCTCTTGCCTGAGACCGAACCCGACCGAGGAGGAGGAGGAGGAGGAGGAGGAGGAGGAGGAGGAGGAGGAGGAAGAGGATGACGATAATGATGATGCTGGTGATGATGGTGGTGATGATGATGAGGATGAGGAGGATGATGATGATGAGGATGATGAGGATGATAATGATGCTGATGATGATGATGCTGATGACGATGATGATGATGAGCAGGAGGAGGAGGATGAGGAGGATGAGGAGGAGGAGGAGCAGGAACATGAACAGGAGGAGGAGGAGGAAGATAAGGAGGAGGAAGAGGAGGAGGATGAGGACTGAGGACTGAGGACAGAGGACCGAGGACAGAGGAGGAGGAGGAGGAAGAGGCGGATGAGGACAGAGGAAGAGGAGGTGGTGGCGGAGGCGGAGGAGGAGGAGGAGGAGGAGGAGGATGAGGAGGAAGAGGAGGAGGAGGAGGCGGAGGAGGGGGGAGGAGGAGGGGGGAGGAGGAGGAGGCGGAGGAGGAGGAGGAGGAGGAGGAGGAGGAGGAGGAGGAGGAGGAGGACAAAGGAGGAGGAGGAGGAGGCGGAGGAGGAGGAGGAGGGAGGAGGAGGGAGGAGGAAGGAGGAGGAGGAGGAGGAGGAGGAGGAGGAGGAGGAGGGGGAGGAGGAGGAGGAGGAGGAGGAGGAGGAGGAGGAGGAGGAGGAGAGGAGAGGAGGGTCAGGAGGAGGAGGAGGAGGAGGAGGAGGAGGAGGAGGAGGAGGAGGAGGAGGAGGAGGAGGAGGAGGAAGAGGGAGGGGGAGGAGGGAGGGAGGAGGGAGGGAGGGAGGGCGGGAAGGAGGGAGGGAGGGAGGGAGGGAGGGAGGGAGGAGGGAGGGAGGGAGGAGGAGGAGGAGGAGGAGGAGGAGGAGGAGGAGGAGGAGGAGGAAGGCCAGATGAGAAGGACAGAGGACACAGGAGGAGGAGAGGAGGAGGAGGAGGAGGAGGAGGAGAGGAGGAGGGGAGGAGGAGGAGGAGGAGGAGGAGGAGGAGGAGGAGGAGGAGGAGAGAAAGGGAGGGAGGGAGGGAGGTAGAAAGGGAGGGAGGAGAAGAGGAGGAGAGGAGGAGGAGGAAGAGGAGCAGGAGGGAGGGAGAGAGGGAGGCGGGGGAGGAGGGAGGGAGGGATGGAGGGATGGAGGGGGGGGGGAAGGCGGGAGGGGAAGGAGGGAGGTGGAAGAGGAGGTGGATGAGGAGAACGAGCCGGAGAACGAGTAGTAGGATGAGGAGGAGGAAGATGATGAGGAGGAGGAGACGAAGCCCGAGGACGAGGCCGGAGGAGTAGGAGCCGAAGGAAGAGGAACCGAAGGAGTATGAGCCGAGGGAGGATGAGCCGATGGAGGAGGAGGAGGAGGGAGGAGGATGAGGAGGAGCCGAAGGAGTGAAAGCCGAATGAGCAGGAGCCGAGGGAGGAAGAGCCGAAGAAGTAGGAGCCGAACGAGCAGGAGCCGAGGCGGAGGAGCCGAAGGAGTAGGAGCCGAGGGACTATGAGCCGAAGGATTAGACGCCGAGCAGGAGGAGCCGAGGAGGAGGAGGAGGAGGAGGAGGAGGAGGAGGAGGAGCGGAGGGAGTAGGAGGCGAATGAGTTGGAGCCGAATACTTAGGAGCCGAAAGAGTAGGAGCCGTAGGAGTAGGACCCGGAGGAATTTGGAGCCGAAGGAGTAGGAGCCGTAGGAGTAGGAACCGTAGGAATAGGAGCCGTAGGAATATGAGCCGAAATAATATAACCATGATAATGAAGACCATGCGCCGTGTGGGCCATTGGTCGTGTGGGCCCTGTGGACCGTGAGCCCCGTGGGCCGTTAGCCGCGTGGGCCGTTTACTAATTTGATGGTTACGTTGGCTTTGCACGTTCGATTTTTACGTTGGATCCTTCGCTGTGCACTGTGCATTCCATCGAATGCAATTGTGCGCTTGCTACTGTGCACTATCACCTTTAACACTCATCACACACGGTTAACCGTGTGACCCTGAAGCTTAACACCATACAGCAACTTCACAGATGGCGGGTGGTTTTTAACATGTGGCACTCGCCTTATCGCTGCGCGCATTCATATGAAACAAATTCAAACATTTCGTGGATTGAGGACGGGTTATTTTCAAATGTGGCTCTCGTCTTAGCGCCGCGCACACTCGTCGTAAACATTCGCAAGGGTTTCACAGATGGAGGGCGGGTGGACTTCACAATGTGACTCTCGCCTTAGCGCCGCGCACATGCGTTGTTGACTTGTGCAAGAGTTTCACGGATTGAGGGCGGGCAGTCTTCAACATGTGGCGCTCTCTCCTTAGCACCCCGTACATACGTCTTAAACAGTTGCAAGGGTTTCACGGATGGAGGGTGGTTCCTTTTCAAAAGGTAGCTCTCGCCTTAGCGGCGCGCCCGCTCGTTTCAAGCATGTGCAAGAGATGCACTGATTCGCATGGCTAACGTGCCGTCTTCTGGAGCGGTGCAGGATTGCCAGGGCGCAGCGGTTACGCGGATTCGTGGTGTTGAAGTCCCAGGAACGGTGCTCTGGCACGATTCAGGATCATCAAGACGCAACGGTAAGGTTCATTCGTGGCGTTAACGGTCCCGAGAATGCTGCTTTGGCACGCTTCAGGATCTTCAGACGGTTCCCTCCCAACGGAGCACTTCCCTCAGGTGGGAATGGATCCTTGTAGGGGCCTATGAGAACGGAGCTTGGGGGAGGGTTTATTCCAACATAGTTGATGAGTCTGGGGTGCTGGTCCTCCTCCTCCTCCTCCTCACATCAAGGACCACCTCCTGGTCGTCCCCCTCCTCGTCCTCGTCGCCCCCCTCCCCTTTCCCCCCCCCCCGCCGCGTCGGGAGGCCGAGCCCAGGGCCGCATGACCGCCCCCGGCGGCGAGGTCCCGCCCGCACGCGGGCCGCGGCCCATCGGGCTCCCGACGCCCTCGGCCTGGGCGGCGGCCGCGAGGCGCTGGCGGGAGCGAATTGATGGGGGGCGATAAGCGAGGGGGGAAGAGAGGTGCCTTTTCTGGGCCCTTTACAGGCTCCTTCTAGGCCCCGAAGGGCGTCTCGAGGGGCCCTGAAGGGTCCTTTGTCGGCAGCCCTCGCTGCCCCCCAATGTATCACCCCCCCGTTACGCGCCCCCCAAAATTCTTGGGCCCCTGAAGCCCAGGCGACGCACTGTTTCGAGTAGGAGATCGACCGCGTAATCGATTTGCCCCAACCTGTGACTGCGTCGTCGGATCTGCAACGAAGTGCGCCAAAAGTGTTCGTAGATCTGCGAGTAAACTCTACGTACTGGTGCAGATTCGACGGACATATCAGATGTTGGATAAATCGATTCTTCGGGGCGCACGCAGGGGGGTATGGGGGAGGGTGGACATCTTCTCAGAGGGAGGCCGCTTCTTAGAAGGTGCAGGCCCTACATCTGCAGAAAGAGCCCGCGCCCTCTAAGAAGCAGGGGTGCTTGTAAGAAACCTTACCCCCTCCCCCCATACCCCCCTCTGCGCGTGACCGACTCCTGCTCGAAGCTCTTCACAGCGGCGCGCGCTCTGTGTGGCAGCACTCCGAGAGCCGTGGCGGGAAGGGCCGAGAGCCTGGCGGCGAGGACCCCCCCCCCGGCGGGGGGCATTTGCACGCGCGCGTGCGCCCAGCGCCCGCTTCGGTCACAAGCCGAGGGGGGTGCAGACGAGGCATGACGGGCGCGACTGGGTGGGGGGGCGATCCATGGGGCCATGGAGCCGTGGAGAACGGAAAAACGAAACCCGCGCGAGAGGACTGCCTCTCAAAGAGGACCGCATGATCGCAAAATTGAGCCAGCTTCCGCCCCCACACGGGGAGACCACCCTCCTCGCGTGAAGGGGAGGCCGCTTGTTCATCGGCGAGGAGCTCACGCTCGGGGCGATTGGGGGGGGGGCAGCGAGGGCTGCAGAGAAGGGGCCCCTCTTGGGCATTGGAGGGCCCAAGAGGGGGCCTCGTGGGGCCCGAAGAAATCACCTTCCTCCCCCCGTCAATCTCGTCCCCCATGAATTCGCGCCCAACATGCTCACGGGCGTTGTCGCTGGTCTTCGGTCTCCCAGACCATCGAAGATCGATCTGGCTCCAAAAATACAGCAGGAGGTTGGGGATTACGGCTCTGGCTGTAATCTTTGACGCTGGTGCTCCCGATGCCGTCGGCCTGGGCTGAGCCCGGGGGGGTTGTGGGGGTTCCGGCGGAAACGCTGGAGGCTGGCTGACCAGTTTCAAGGTATTGACAAGCCCAGCGCGATGGCTACCGAAAGGATGAGCCCTCGGAAGCGGAGGGAGCCCCTGAGATGGGCACCGAGGGACGGTGACAGCGATCACCAGGACAAGGGGGTGTTCTTGTCTGGTGGTCCTCGGGGCCGTCGGGGCCCGTCCCCAGGACCTGGGCCGGCTACACGCACGAGCGACCCTGGGTAAGAGTGACCTGTGGCGCGCGGCAACACGGAGTACGCGGGGTGGCCACACCTGGGCGCCCAAGCCGCTGCCAACGCTTCACACTCAGCGATCGGATTGGGCCCGCACCAAAGGTCACACCGGCGAACGGTCACGCTTACGTCTAGTCGATCTGGAGAAGGTATCGGGCGCCGCGGCCTTCTCAGAGCGTTCTGGAACGCTCTGAGAGCGTTCTGGAGGGAAGGAGGACGCGGAGGGAGGAAGGGGGGAGGGAGGGAGGGAGGGAGGGAGGGAGAGAGGGAGGAGGTGGACGCTGGAGGAGCGAACGTGCTCAAGAAACTGTGCAAGCTTTCTGGCAAGCTGGTCAAGAAACGTTGGCCCAACTTTTCGGGGGGAGGTTTCTTAATCCTATGCTCGACCGTAGGTCGGAGCGGAGAGTTCGATAGATCGATCATTGACCTATCGATCTGCCGCAGCCCACCTACCGACAGAGTCCTCTCAAGGATCGACAGTTCGAGGCGGGCTTCCAAAGAGGGCGCGAGGGGATGGGACCAAAGAGCCGCGCGGCGTGGCTCCCTCCCTCCCGCGGGACGCGCGTGCGGGCGCGCGCGCCCCCTTTCGGAAGCCCGAGGGGAAGGCTAGGCGCGCCGCGAGGCCGCGTCGGGGCGCTGCGAGGCACGGGGGGCGCAGGGCACGGCATCGTAGAGGGGGGCGGGGCAAGGGGTTTTCGTCCTTCGTGGGAGGCCGAGGCAACGGCCGAATGGCGGCTACGCTGCCGGGACACAGCTCTGGCAACGCCGCTGATCTGAACTGCCTGTGACGTCGCCGTGCCCCCTTCAACTTTGTCCGCCGCGGCCAAGTCGAGGCTGCCTTGCGCGGCTCCGTAACGTCTGCAGGAGGGGCGTGGCGGACCAAGCAGGGCGGAGCAAAACCAAGCAGGGTACGGATGATGTGTCTTCCCCTATAGGACCGATGGCAATGACGAGTTAACAACCAACGACGAGACCGAAGTCTCAATGCGCACACGGTTCAAATCGAGCTAACTCTCTTTTGAGCTCCGTGAGTAATCACGTAAACCCTAACGTCATAAAGCATATGAAACACTATCGAGGGTGCCAGCAAGACAATGCCAGCAAGACAGGGTACGGCTGGTATGTAGCGCATGTCGCAGCTTGGCACGGACGGAAGGGGTACTGTGCATGGGGCAAGCTGGGGCGAAGCGGAGCAGCGCCAAAGCCACGCAGGGCTAGATTCGCAGCTATGCCGTGCAGTGCAGAGGAGGACAGGGAGAGGCGAAGCGGGGCTGGGGCGGCAATGCATAGCCAGGCGAAGTAAGACATTGGTATCTAGTGATCATGCCCACATTAGGGCTGCAACGAAGTCTTTCTGGCTTTCAGGGCCTGCTTGGTCTCGTGCCCACATATATATAGATACATATTTATTTATTTATTTATATATATATATATATATATATATATATACAAGACTCTGAAGGCTCGCTACGCTTCGCCTTCGAATCTTGGTCCTTCTCCTTCTCCTTCGCCTCATCCTGCCCCTCCTCCTTCTCCTTCTCCCCTGCCCTCCGCCTCCTCGTTCGGCCCGGCTTGGCGGGGCCGAAACGGGCTGGGCCGGCGCGCGAGCCGGTCGAGCTGGCGCCGATCGGGCAAGGGTGGGCGGCGGCAGCGGCTGTAGCGACGACGACGACGACAACGACGACGACGACGACGACGACGGCAGCGGCGGCGGCGGCGACGACGACGACAGCGACGACGACGATGACGATGGCGGCGACGACGATGACGACGGTGGCGGCGGCGGCGGCGGTGGCGGCGACGACGACGACGGCGGCCTTTCCACCTGCGCGGCCTCCCCCATACGTCGTTGTCGTCGTCGTCGTCGGTCGTCGTCTGTCGTCGTCGCCGTCGTCGTCGCCGTTGTTTCGTTGCCGTCGTCGTCGTCGCCGTTGTTTCGTTGTGATCGGCGTCGCTGGCCGGAAAGCTTCCTCCACGAACCTGGTGGCTGGCATTCCGGGGATTTGGGGCCATGACTGACGTGCGTGATTTGTGTATCGTGCTGCGCGGCGCGCGGGCGTGCGTGGCCATGGCGACGATGGCCAGAACAGCAACGACGACCAGGGGGGCGGCGACGACGGCGCAAATGACGACGACAACGGGGGAGGCGACAAAGGAGCGACGACGACGCTGACAATTCAAAGGCGATAACGACGACGACGACGACGACAACGACGACGACAACGGGACACCAAGATAGGGCGACCTGGTGGCTGGCATTCCGGGCGGCCTGGGCGCAGACACATGCTCGCATACCCCAGGGGCCCCCTGTGCGCTTTTTTTTTTTTTTTTTTTTTTTTTTTTTTTTTTTTTTTTTTTTTTTTTTTTTTTTTTTTTTTTTTTTTTTTCCGTCGGCGACGCCCTGTGTCTGGGAACACCCAAGAAACGCATTGATATACCCTTCCCGCGGTTGTATATCGCGCTGCGTGGGTTCGGAAGGACGCATGGGCTGAAGTAGAGAGGAACGCATGAAACAGGAACGCGCGATGTATACTGAGCACAACATGCAATCCAACATTAATAATCGAAATACCACTCAGAGATAAACGTTCAAGTGTGGGGCTTGTGCATCCTCAAGGGCTTTGCGCCCGCGAACATCTTAATGTATTTGTTGTACTCGCATACATTCGTTTGGCACTGCGTCGGCGTGATGCCGGCCGAGGCAGCAACTTGCTCAAGAGAGAGGCTTTTGTCGCCACACATTCTCCTCACGTGTTCGATCCCCTCCTCGGATCCCGTCGTCAGCGGGCAAGACGCGCGCTTATCTGCAATTCGAATGAGATTCAAAGATACTAAATCGCAAGCAATCTGTAGACTTGTGAACGGCACTTGGCGACGCCTCTGATTGATCAAGCATGCGCTGGTTGTTTCGGAAATAAAACGTTGAGCGTGGGCGAGAGAAGGGAACTGCATCCCGACGAGTTTGGCCACTGGGTCATCCTTCGTTTGTTTCCATTCACGCAAGCAGCGAAGAATCTCGGTATTCGAGAGGACACGGTCGCATGTGCCGTGGCCACCGGTCACCGTTGGGAGATCTTCCTCCCATGTGTTAGTCACTAGCATTTCTGCCAGCGCGTTCGGTCCCCCAACTGCGTTTTTTGGGCTGGACAGGTGTCTGTGCATGAAACAGAGCTTGATGTTGTCAACTTTCTTCCTTATACTTGATGCAGCCGCACAGAGCTCTTTTGACCCACGGTCGTCCCAACGGTCGATGTTATTGAAGAAACAATTGTCCAAGAAAAAGTGATGCGTCATCTTGCGGTTTTGTCTGATTTTCCGTAGCTTACAGAATTCCACGAAGCTCATTGCATGGTGTCGCGGGTCTGCAGATTTATGAAACTCTGATGGCGTCTGATCTTTACTGGCACGCTGCGCCGCCCATCTGAGATTGGCTGCTTTCCCAGCGCTTTTCTTGAGGTGCTCTTGTTGTGTTGCCGAGGACGCTGTTTTCTTAAGCTTTTCT